GTAAAGAATGTGCTTCAATAGCTGCTAAAGAGTATGATGACGAATTGGAAGAGGTAAGAGAAGAAGTGTTATACTGATCGAGAGATGGCGATTGAGATGCAAAAGAATTTGTATCTTGTGACTGCTTCGGAAAAATAATTTGATCGTGTGTACCACCGACATGAATATCATGTTTTCGTAAAAAATCCAAGCCGATGATACAGAAATGTTCAATTCGAAGAGACCGTGTGTACGTAAAGATTGTTCATTAGCACAACGTACTGTTATGGATGGAGATTTAATAGGGATAAGTTTGCATGACTTTTGCTTGATTTGACGAAATGCCTCGACACTAAGTACAGTTAAATTCGAGCCAGTGTCAATAGTAAATTTTGTTGGGTACCCTTCTAATGTACCATTGACATGTAATAGTTGGGAAGAAGAAATGAAAGAATTATGGATAGAACTAATAGAGAGAGAGAGGACTTTTTATTTAGATAATTTTCGGAGCCCCGCCACCTCCCATCAGTAAGACTCCGTCTTAGTTTTTTGAATTTGAAGGATATCTGGAAGATTGAGTACGAGTACATTGGGATGCTAAATGTTCTGGAATATTACATTTATAGCAGATAATATGAGATTGACAAGAATTAGATGTGTGGGAGCGAGTTGACGAATAATGAATAACGATAATATATGAACGCAGTATATATATTCCAGCAGAGAGAAAAACGAGAGAGAATGATTAATGAATAGAACATTAAGAGTAGTGACGGGTAGAATCCGTCACAATGGTCATATGAAAATAATCGATCTAAAGAACGATAACAGATAAAAAAAAATAATATAAATTTCGAATCGCTTCATTTCAATGTAGATACATGAGGTGGATTGAATTTTCTCTTTGTCTGTTTTTTTTATTCTACGTAGTCTAGTTATATAAGAATGAAAAAAAGCATTCAGTCCTTAGAATATTTTTTATTGTGAATTGTATCACATGTTTTCTATATATTAGTAGAACAGAGCGAAATATATTCTACGCTATAAGATATAAAGAAAATATTCAATGATTGTATGCTAGTATAAATTTTTTGATTTTAATTAAATAATTTCAAAAAAAAAAAAAAAACCATAAATAGTGATTAAACAAAAATATCAAGTTTGAGTATATTTTTTCGACTGTAAGAATTTTTTTTAAAGCTACATTGATTTAACATGATTTATGCTGAGTTACAATGAGTTAAAAGCTGATTTAAAATAAGTTAAGATGATATAACAGATTTTATTTTGAGTTTTTAGCCGGTTTTTATATCAGTGGATTACCCTCCGTACTTCGTGATTCCTTTCAGTAAATTGTAAATATAATCTGTTTTTTTTCTAGTGTGTGTAGTTCATTTAGATATCTTGTTGAGTATCGATGTGTGGATTAGGGGTCGGCAGTTACCGTTCCCAGACCGTTACCCGGTAACGGTAATGGTAACGGTTCACACGGAAGAAGTTACCAGTTACCTGGGTAACGGTAACGGTCCAGTTACCAGTTACCCGGGAACTGGTAACGGATCCGTTACCAGTTCCCGGGTAACTGGTAACGGTTCCGTTACCAGTTACCCGGGAACGGGGTAACGGTACTACTATTGGGGCATACCCTTAGGTCCTTAAGTCCTACTATTGAGGGATACCCTTGGATCCCCAAGTCCTGCTATTGGGGGTACTCTTGCGTTCTCAAGTCTGACTACTGAAAAGTACCCAAGGGGGTTCAAACTTTTTGCCCCTATTGCGAGGACACGTGATGGGCATGTTCGGGCCAAGCATAGGGTTATCGAGGATGCTCTATCGATTGATGGGTATATGTAGGGGTCTCCGCCAATCCCATCACTGAGAAATAAAATCCTGCTGTTTGATTGGTCCAAAAATAGACCAATCAGATTTTAGGAGCCCTTTTTTCTCTTATTGTTCGGACAAGGCATAGCCGTGTTCGGGCCAATCATAGGGTTATCGAGGATGCTCTATCGATTGATGGGTATATGTATGGGCTCCTACTCAGTTCCATACGGCGAGTATGCTGCTTAGGCATTTGGCCTCGAGGACCCAAGGGTATTCCCCAATAATAAGACTTGAGGGTCAAAGGGTACCCCCTAATAGGAGGAGTTGAGGACACAAGGGTACCCCCCAATAATAGGACTTGAAGACCCAAGGGTACCCTCCAAGAATTGGACTTGAGGACGTAAGGGTATCTCCCAATAATAGGACTTGAGGGTCAAAGGGTACTCCCCATTAATAGGACTTGAGGACCTAAGGGTGTCTCCCAATAGTAGCACTTGAGGACCTAAGGGTATCCCCCAATAGTACCACTTTAGGATCTAAAGGTGGCCCCAATTGTAGTACCGTTACCCCGTTCCCGGGTAACTGGTAACGGACCGTTACCGTTCCCGGGTAACTGGTAACTGGTAACGGTCCCGTTACCGTTACCCGGGAACGGTAACGGTAACTGCCAACCCCTAGTGTGGATACCAGTTTGATGAGATGAGTTTATGACAAAAATTCTTACATGGACACACATACCACATCATGCACCAGGAGACTGACATAAGTATCAGCATCCACACACATACTTTTTCAAATGTTGGATAATACCTTTGTTGAGAGCTGTAAAGAAGTATAACATACCAAAAGAGCCGAATATTTAATCGAAAATAAACCGAGTTTACATGGAGGAACGTTACATGTTTCTCGCATTTACAATTTGATGAGATAATTGCAAATGAAAGTAAAACAAGAAATATGTCATATATATATTTCATACAATAATGTTTCACAAATTCGAGAGACGTCTCCATAGATAAAGCAATATAATAAAAGACATGCTTCCAAGAAAGAGATCAGCCGTAAAATATCGAAAAACTAGTTTTGATCATTAAATGATTTTTATACGTGAATTAGTTGCAAAATCATAGAAAAAACACCCGCATTTCTCATTCAATGCCTTCACCTTTCTCATACATTCTTTATCACCGTAAACAAAAACCAAAAAAGAACGAGTTAAAAAAATAATTGTTGTTGACAAAGTTTAGAGTTTGACTAAAAAAAGTTTTTCGTCTTGTAACAAAATCCGATTTCGATGAAGAGAAAATTTTTCTCTCTTATTTTAATAATTTTTCTTGTCTCTATTTTAGATTATCCATTACGATCTCCATCCAGCACTAACATTCATCCGAATGCTCGATGGCAACAGAATGGTATCACTGTGGCTGGAGGAAATCGACAAGGCAATGGAATCAATCAACTCTCAAACCCATGGGGTTTGTATGTTGATGATGATCAAACAATCTATGTTGCTGATCGAGTGAATCATCGTATTGTGGAATGGAAACGAGGTGCAACAAGTGGTCAAGTGGTTGCCGGTGGAAATGGACAAGGAAGTGGAGATCATCAATTGTATAACCCATATGATGTGATTATCGACAAAGAGAGAGATAGTCTCATCATATGCGATCGTTCGAATGGAAGAGTGGTTCGATGGCCTCGTCGAAATGGGACAAGTGGAGAAACAATCATCTCCAACATCGATTGTTTGGGTTTGACAATGGACGAGAATGGATCTCTCTATGTCACTGACTTTGGAAAACATGAAGTGAGACGATATCGAAGAGGAGAATCTCAAGGAACAGTGGTTGCAGGTGGCAATGGAAGTGGAAATCGTCTCGATCAACTCTCTTCCCCCTCATACGTATTCGTCGATCGAGATCATTCAGTGTACGTATCTGATGAGATAAATCATCGTGTGATGAAATGGATGGAAGGTGCAAAACAAGGCATTGTCGTGGCTGGTGATCAAGAAGAAGGAAATGGTCTTACACAATTGTCATATCCTCGAGGAGTTGTTGTCGATCAATTGGGCACTGTCTATGTGGCTGATCGAGGGAATAATCGAATCATGCGTTGGCCTAAAGGAGCCACACAAGGAAGTGTCATTGTTGGTGGAAACGGTAGAGGAGAACAATCGAACCAACTCAATAGACCCTTCGGTTTGTCATTCGATCGACACGGTAATCTCTATGTCGTCGATTGGAGAAATCATCGAGTTCAACAATTCGAACTTCAATCCAATCCAAAGTGAACTCTGAAACACATATAAATCATTCGAAAAAAACTTTCACGAAATGACTCACCCAATTAATTAATTAATTAATTAATAATAATAAAAATTAATTAACTCAATATAAACTAATCATACTATAAATAATAAACCAAACAAAACCTTAATTAGATGTAAAAACACCCATCCTATAGAAGGAAACCTTAAATACACATAAAAAGGGAAACAACAATACACGGCGGAGACCTGGCTGACTTTCCTCAAAACGGAAACCTTGGATTTTCCATCACGATTCCAAGGATTCCATGAGAGACAACAAAGTCTGGCACTTGGAATATTGTAGATCATGATGAA